GAGCCAACACACGGGCACCGACCAAGAGGGCGCCCCACGCCAACATACGTGGAGGTGCTGAGGAAGGATGTGGGGGTGGAAAGCTCCACAGAGCTGGCCGGGTGTATGGAGGACCGTGAGGATTGGCGAACCCGTTGGCAAACTCGTCTAAGGACGACCTAGTAGTAGTAGTCCTTGATTGGCTCAAGTTCACACCTTTTTAGGGGCGGGGCTAGTGATGTTGTCCCGGGGATGCTTAGGAGTTGATAAAGGAGATAATCCCACTAACGTCATCATTTGATTCCAAAAGTGGGTCTGGACTCGCGCCCATAGAGGCTGTTTACACAGTATAATGGCTCCCCCAAAGTATAATTTATGGGTGGCTCCCCCCAAAGTATAATTTATGGTTTTTTAAGTTTTTTTTACTCACTGAGCACTCATTGCCACCAATGCAAATGCAAATGAGTGCTCACTGAGTAAAAAAAAATAAAAGAACACACAAATTATACTTTGGGGGGAGCCATTATACTTTGGGGGCCCCCCAAAGTATTAACATGCTGTGGGAATCACTGAACTCCCTCTGTGTGTGTGGTGTGTGTTCCATTACACCGGTCCTGAGTCAAGGGGCCGGTCCAGCTGTGTAGGTCTGGTGGATCAGTTGCCTACCTGTCTTTGTCGTTCTTGTTTCAGACCTCCTCTGTGGTGGCATCAGAAGGAAGCCTCCAAGATGGGCACCGCGGACAAGCTGCTGGATCTGATGTTCAGCTGGATGGAGAATAGGGAGCACTGTGCTAAGCAGCTGAGGAAACTGGCCCGGGAGCTGGAGGATCTCAAAGAGAACTGCAACGGCAGCCAGTGTGTCGGGAACACAGTGTCGGTGGTGGGAGCTGCTAGCCTGCTTGGAGCTGGCGTGGCCACATTGATCACCGCCGGTTTAGCGGCTCCGTTTCTAGCGTTAGGAGCAGCCTATACATTTGTAGGTGTAACCATATCTCTGGTTACTCAACTTACTGAGCACCTCTCATCCAGCAAGACGATGAAGAAAGCGCAGAGCATAGAAAGCGAGAGCAACGAGATTGCAGAAGAAATCAAGAGTCAGTTCGAGCATCTGAGGAAGGTGGAGTGTAAGGCGGAGAGCGTCAACGCAGACGAAGACGAGCTGGACCAACGAGTCATGGCTAAGATCCCTGCAGCCATCGCCAGAAGGAGTGGTCAGAAGTGGACAGTCTGTGATGGCATCAAGTTGTCTTCTTCATCTGGGCCACAGTTTTCTCGGAATGCGCTATTAAACCCACTAATGCCTGCACTTGCTGATGGAGTTTTCGGTATTTTAGTAGTCTTTGCATTTAAAGCAAGTGGAAAGAAATCTAAACTGCTGTTTGCTAAAGCAGGCCAACAACTCATCAATAAAATGTCCACAACTGGACTCAAAACTGCCCTTGAAGTAGGGGACACTGCCCTTAAAGTAGGGGGCACTGCCGTTAAAGGAGCGGGCACTGCCCTTAAAGTAGGGGGCACTGCCGTTAAAGGAGCGAGCACTGCCCTTGAAGGAGCGGTGACTGCCGTTAAAGTAGGGGACACTGCCCTTAAAGGAGCGGTGACTGCCCTTAAAGGAGCGGGCACTGCCGTTAAAGGAGCGAGCACTGCCCTTGAAGGAGCGGTGACTGCCGTTAAAGGAGCGAGCACTGCCCTTGAAGGAGCGGTGACTGCCGTTAAAGTAGGGGACACTGCCCTTAAAGGAGCGGTGACTGCCCTTAAAGTAGGGGGCACTGCCGTTAAAGGAGCGAGCACTGCCCTTAAAATAGGGCGCACTGCCCTTAAAGGAAGCATGGTAAGATCTTACATGTGTTTTTGAATGACTCTGATATCCTCTGCATACAGCTACATATCATAATACTAGAGACATCACTGTGAATGTTGTTGAGGCTGACGGTGTGAAATATTCCTGCTCAGGTTGTTGGAGGAGTTGTTGGACTTGCGTTTGCACTTGACGAAGCGATAGACAGCTGGAAGAAGATGATCGAGAAGAATCACGTGACTGAAGCGAGCCAATCCCTGAGAGATACCGCCGACGCCTTGGACCAGATGAGCCGGACGCGGAGGAATCAGTTCGACGACATAAAGTGAGATGTTTATTTTACCGCTGGGTGGCTTTGACTATAAAAAGATATAATCATTTATTAGTTGATTTATATTTTGTATTAATAATCTGAAGTACGGAAGACCGGTACCTTCCAGAGAAACTTAACTAGGAGTTTAACCTCAACAAATATCTTAAGCATTGAGCCAGGGCAAAGCAGGTTTCTTGAATCATGCTAACTGGACTGGTTTCGTTCACAGGACGAAGATGGCTAACAGGCAACGAGAACACGAGGAAAGGCTGGAGAGAGAGAGACTGGAGGAAGAGAGACTGGAGAGAAAGAGACTGAAGGAAGAGAGACTGGAGAGAGAGAGACTGGAGAGAGAGAGAGACTGGAGAGAGAGAGACTGGAGAGAGAGAGACTGGAGAACGAGAGGCTGAAGAAAGAGAGACTAGAGAAAGAGAGACTGGAGGAAGAGAGACTGGAGGAAGAGAGACTGGAGGAAGAGAGACTGGAGGGAGAGAGACTGGAGAGAGAGAGACTGGAGGAAGAGAGACTGGAGAGAGAGAGACTGGAGAGAGAGAGACTAGAGAGAGAGAGACTGGAGAGAGAGAGACTAGAGAGAGAGAGACTGGAGGAAGAGAGACTGGAGAGAGAGAGACTGGAGAGAGAGAGACTAGAGAGAGAGAGACTGGAGAGAGAGAGACTGGAGAGAGAGAGACTGGAGAGAGAGAGACTGGAGAGAGAGAGACTAGAGAGAGAGAGACTAGAGAGAGAGAGACTGGAGAGAGAGAGACTGGAGGAAGAGAGACCGAAGAGAGAATGGTTCCCAGCACTACAGGAACACAGGAAACTAAAGATGGCGGGCATTGCGTTGGGCTTTCTGTTTCTGTTTCAAGGTGCCATTTTCTGTAAAACAGACAAAGATATGAGTTTGAGTTTAGAGGGAAGCATCCAAGGGAAGGATCCAAGTGAAGGATCCAAAGGAAGCATCCAAGGGAAGGAGACTGAATCCCACATGGGTTTAAGACATGAGGAAGAAAGACAGGGCCATCAAGCAGAGCGGACAGGAAGTGAGTTAGAGAGACAGAGTGAGCAGACAGGAAGTGAACAAGAGAAAGGGAGTGAGCAGACAGGAAGTGAACAAGAGAAAGGGAGTGAGCAGACAGGAAGTGAACAAGAGAAAGGGAGTGAGCAGACAGGAAGTGAACAAGAGAAAGGGAGTGAGCAGACAGGAAGTGAACAAGAGAAAGGGAGTGAGCAGACAGGAAGTGAGAGCATCCAAAGAGAAACCCCATTCGTCAGGGCAGCGTTGTTAAATGTTCACTCGATGAACAAAAACACATCCACCATCTTAAAGCTCATCACAGAAATGATGCTGGACGTCTTTTTCTTAACTGAGACGTGGTTAAAGGAGGGAAATGCAGGCAACGTCCTCGAGGAGGCTTCGCCCCAAAACTTCAGATCCTTCCGTCATGTGAGTGAACTCATCGGGTATAGAGGGGTAGCTATCCAGTTCTCTACAGGGTTGCATGGTGAACAAATTCAGTTTGTCAACATAAACTCCTTTGAATGCGTGGTGACAGATCTGAAACACATCAAGTGGGAAGAACCCGTCCTGAGCATCAACCTCTATCGCCCGCCAGAGAAAACCCTGAGCACCATCCGCAACTTCCTGAAACAGTTTCAGGAACTCTTGGATCTGGTTTCCCAAGACTACAACAGCATCATTGTGACCGGAGATTTCAATATCTGGGTTGATGATGATTGGAGGACCTATGTTAAAGAGTTTCATTTGTTTCTACTGATCAACGGCTTCGATCTGCACCCAAGGGAGCCGACCTACCCCTCCGGTCACACTCTGGATCTGGTGCTCACCAGAAATGTTGACATTTCTGACCTTGAAGTCCGGAACGACCAAATATCAGATCATTACACCGTGTATTTCAACTGGAGGCCAGTGCAGAAAAATAAAAGGAAAAAACCAAACAAGGATGGGAAACGATTTAAAAAGAGTTAAAAATGTAACTTTGACTTTCTCAAAGTGTTAAGTAATACAGGACTCGTTTAAGGTCTGATTCTGATCATTTACTTCAGTTTGAATTTCCCCCAATGAAACAGCGTGGTTCTACCCAGGGCTGCCCCTGGCCAACTTGGGGCCCCAAGCGACATTGTGACATTTTTTATTTTGGAAACAAAGTAGGCTTTGCAAATATAATTCCTGTTAGTTGTTATTATTATCAACAGTTACTTTTTTATACAGTGAGGTAAATGGTAAATGTGCATGTATGTCGTTCAGTATGCGTTTACAGGTGACTACGTCTGCATTTCCTGCCAAATACTAGCCTCAAAAATATTCAAATATAATTAATGCAAATAAACTACTTCTACTAATAATAATAATCATAATCAATTCAATTATATAAATACTATATTATTTTATTATAATATAGTTGTAATATAGTCAAGACAAAACATGCTTATGACATGCTCAAAAACTGATATTTCTTAAATCTGTATTCATAGTTCCCTGTCAGCAATGCATCAACAACTACACACACATTACTATCCACTGATAGCTGATAGCTCCCATAGGGTGTCGAAGCCCCTCCCCTTCCGGTGGAGCTCCATGGGACCTTATTTCGGAAAAATTATGTATTGAAGTCAATGGATAGAGAAAGATTATCTTTCGATCCCGTTTGAATTGTAACACGAATTACACATATGATGTTTGTCGATTTAAAAGATTATTTTGTAAGTCAAAAAAATTAAAATGTCGTAAAACTGTGAAGTAACACTTTGTGTGAAACGCCGAATGAACTACAACTCTGGTCTCGCACAACAAGATGGCCGTCACTACTGTCTTGTCAACAAAAGGATTGACTTCTGTTGAGATCTCCATATGAAGTGAATACTTAAAACGAAAGTTAATTATAAATCATATATGATCAATCATATTATTGTATGAACCCATAATGAGAATGCTTCTTGATGGTTTTTGAATATGTATGTATGCTTACAATTTTATCTGTTGCTATTTGATAACTTTGTGTTTTGAAAAAGAGGGTGTTGAGTTTCATAGTATGTTGAATACTTAAAACGAAAGTTAGTTATAATCAAATATAATCAATTATATTCTTGTATAACCCACAATGAAACAAAACACCAGTGGTTCATAGCCATAGAAAATGTCTAGTCATGTTTTAGCTTTTTTTTTTACACAAACATGGGAAGGTGTGTCTTAGGCCATAGCCAATAGAAGTTGTTGGTTGGGGATAGAGGAGGTGTTTTTTGGGGTTTTCGATCTGGTTTTTTGAGAGAGCGAGAGAGAGAGGGGGGTTTTCCCTGGTATACTCTCTCCCGGTAGGCTCTGGCCCTCAGAGCTGGGTAAATAGCTCTCGGTAAGGTTGCCTGGAATGCGTTATTATTACGTACAGGACCTTAGGACTAATAATTCTAGTTAGACCTTGGAAAGATGAGAAATATGAATTATGGTTTTAGATAACAAATATAACCCCAGCATGATATGTTTCGTATGATTATAATGTGTTAAAAGTAGGGCCGGGACTTTAACGCGTTAATTAAGATTAATTAATTACACAAAAATTAACGCGTTAAAAAAATTAACGCATTTTAAATCGCACTTTAATCGCACTTATTTTTGCACAGCGGAACGTTTCTCACTGGATGAGTTTCAGGCGTACCGATTATACTGGAGCACCAACTAACGTTCATGACTTCAGCATGGGACTTCAAACAACAACAAACCACGGTGAACAATAGTCAAACATGAACGAACAAGCTGATGGTCGGCCCCGTGGATGGGAAATTTTGTTTTAAAAAACGGACGGATGGAAGCGTCGATAAGAGCACGGTTGTGTGCAAATTATGCAAAAAAGAATTTGCATATCACCGCAGCACATCAAGCCTAAAATATCACCTAAATGCAAAGCATGTAGCAGCTAGCGTGGACGTTAGCCCGACTCCGAGTACAAGGAACCACACCCTGACCCAACCCACACTCAACCAGATGACTGGTTTCAGGGCCAGGATAAGTAAGTCCACGTCTGAGAAAATAACCAACTCCCTGGCTCACTGGATTGCACTCGACTGTAGACCACTTAGAGTGGTTGAAGATAAGGGGCTGCAAAAGGTACTCCAGATTATATCGTCTGACGCAACATATGAGCTGCCATGCAGAAAGACAGTGACAAAAAGAATCCAGCAGCTTTATGACAATGAAAAGGAAGATAAAGAGAATTTATTGGAGAAAGCCGAATGTGTTGCCCTGACTGGGGATCATTGGACCTCGGTAAGCAATTCAAATTACCTCGGTGTGACGGCACACTTTATTGACATCAAGTGGCGTCTTCACTCATTTGCCTTGACCATCCAGAAGACCACCACTAGGCACTTTGCTGAAAACGTGGCAGAAGATTTTGAGTCTGTGGCAGAGGCCTGGGAAGTCACACTAAAAGTCACCACAATCGGAACAGACTGTGCCCGAACCATGATCGCTGCAATGAGACTGCTCACATTCCAGCACATGCCGTGTGTTGCTCACGTGTTGCAAAGGACCATCACAGTTTGCCTTGCTGACAGCGGGTTCACAGGCACATTGGCAAGATGTCGTAAGATAGAGGGGCATTTTAAACACAGCCCCTCAAACACAGAGGAACTGCACAAGGAGCAAACAGAACTAGAACAAGACAAAGAGCCACTGATACAGGATGTTTCCACAAGGTGGAATTCAACACTGTTTATGATCTCTCGTCTGCTGAAGAACCAAGAGGCTGTGAAGGCTACTCTAGCCAAACAGAAGCACAATCTCACCATGTTGACTACAGCAGAGTGGGACAGACTGCAGAGGCTCGAGACCCTCCTTAAACCATGCAGGTAAACACCCACCAACTGTTTTATTAATGGGATTAATTCATCATTGCTGTCCCTTGAAAAACGTTGTGAATTGACTATGATTGTGCAGTATAAATTAAATTGCTTTTCCAAAATGTATTGTACTGAATATCAATATCACTATGACTATAGTATAAAGTTGCTACTGTTTTTAATCTACTATTAATTGGTACAATAATAAATCACTTTCCTAAACTATCCACTGCAGATATGTGACTGAGCTCCTTGGGGGTGAGACTTATGTCTCGTGCTCTGTTGTGTTACCTGCTCTCCGCCACCTGACCCGCACCATGGAGGTCTCAGATGACGACCCAGCCTATGTGGTGAGGTTCAAGGCTGCCTTTAAAAAGGACCTGTCTCAACGCCAAGATGCACTCAACCATGGATGAGTCAGGGTGGCTACAGCACTCGACCCGCGCTTTAAGGTAACATGTGTAATGGTCTTCTTTGTTTTTCTCTTTTCTTGCTTTTTGACCTCCTTTCCCCTGCCCCCCCCTCTTTTCCCCTCCCCCCTCTTTCTTTCTAT